GGGACGGGGCGGCGGGGCGGACCAGGAAGCGGCCGGTGCCTGCCCGGCCGGGTGTTGGAGCTGCCGGCTCTCGGACCCCTGCGCCCCTCCCCGCCGCTCTTAAGTTTCTTAAAGCGCGGACTTCTCTCTGCAGGCCCCTTAAGAACTGCGCACACACGCAGTATCCGTTCCTCTCAGCCGTGAGCACGGTGTAGGTACAAGGCACCAAGGGGTGCAGGGCGCGAGTGGGGTCCAGGAATACGTTGGTTTAACTTTCACTGTCATCCCCCAGCAGGGTCAGATTCCTAGCTTTAGCAACTGGTCGCCAGCATATCTTTTCTGCTCGCGTCCACTTTCCCTTAATGGCCAGGGATATCATTCCCAAATATTTTAAAAAACAGGAAAGGAATATAACTATGTTAGCAAAAGTCCCGGACCAAAAGGATTTTGGTAATCGCCCAGTTAAACCACACGAAAGAAAGCAAACCCAGAACCCTGATCTAGTTCATGTACCACCTCTTGCCTGGTTGCACAGGTGGATACATTGCAGAAAAGGTGTACTGCCTAGAGATCTGCAAGAACTTAGTGGCAAACATGAAACTTTAAACCCGAGTCCCCATCTGTGCCAGGGTGTCTTGATGTGTATGAATGTGTTGCTTACTGCATTGGCTTTGCCAGCCTGGATTGGCATCTGCGCCCCTCAATTCACTAATTGTGTAATATTGAATAAATTGTATACTTTCTTGGAGCCTAGGTTTCTGTGTGTCAAACGGAAATATTTAACTTGCTGAGGCTTTTAAAAAAATAACACTGTATGTCCTTTGGTTTCTAGTAGTCAAGCAGTGTTAACTGTCTTCCTTCCATCAAACCGCCCATATTTTACGTAATTGGATATCAGCTTTTTGAGGGCAGGGATGCAGAGACTTTTAAATTTTCTCCATAAGTTGGCTCACAGTGGAGATTTTTGCATTTCCACCAGCTGACATTTATTGAGCAGCAGTTACATGCAAAGTTCTGTGGTGGTTGTAGGGAATTGCTCCTGGGGCCACAAGAGCTAGAACCCACCATTTCCTGTGTCCTGCTTATGACCCTTTGGTGGCATGCAATGTCTCTCTTTGCTACTTAAACACAGTGAGACAGTAAGACAGCAGCTGGCAGTGCTTTTGGATTTCAGTCACTGTAGATGGGAAATGAAATGTGATCTGTGCTAATGCCCTTTTAAATTTGCTCACTGAGCATGGCTGAATGAGCTATTGTATTTTGCATCAAGAGATTTAAACTCCTTGAAGGACCTCCCCTTTAAATTCTCTGTGCAATATAATCTAATTGGATACTTAATGTGAATGTAAAGAAAAAATACTTTATAATCCAATTCAAAGTACCTACTTTATGTTTAATGAGTGCTATTTGTAAGAACTGAAATTTGACAGAGAAAGTACTTTGCATGGGGATGCTTTCACAGGACAAAAGACTTTGGTGCTTGGAGTGAGATTTAATTTCGTGTTTGTCTTAGTTATTATTTTCACTGTTGAGACAAAATACCTGATACCCAAGGTTTAAGGAGGAAATGTTTACTTTAGCTCACAGTTTGTAGAGGTTTCAGTCCATAATTTTCTGGTTCCAAGACAGGGCAGTATGGCAGAGGAGAAACAGTTCATGGTAGGCAGAAGGCAGCAAACCAGCAAGCAGAGTGACAAACAGTGATCCTCTTTTTGCCTCTATATCTGGTCCAGGCTACCCACCCTTAGGACCAGTAGCACTCACAGCCAGGGTGGGGAAGCCATAATCCTATCATTGAACCGTGCATCAATCCCAACATCACATCTTTGATCCCACCATCACATACTCTAGATCCAGCTATCTCTGAAAAGACCCACCTATGGCTGTAAGAGGCTTTGAGGAGACATCTAGATACAAGCCATAACAATATTTGTGTGAATTGTTTTTCTTTCTTTGTGCAAAGCTTAGCTTTTTTCTCAGGGAAATAATGAAAGGAATGAAGCTTTTAAGCTGGTTGCAGTGGTGCACATCTGTAATCCCAGCACTCAAGAGGCTGAGGCAGGAAGATTACTAAAAGTTCAAGGCCAGCCTGGGCTACACAGTGAGACCTTGTCTCAAAAAAAAAAAAAAAAAAAAAAAAAGCTTGCAAAAGCACAGAAGTGGCACAATATTTTCATTATTTCCCTATGATTTAGTTTTTTTTAAGGTTTCAAATATTTATTGTTGATCTATTAGTGCTGATCTCAGAAAAAGATTTAAGATTCCTGATTAAGTATATTTCACTGTCTGACCAACGGTATTTTTTAAGCGTGATACGGTGGTATTGTCTTGACCATGATAAAGAGGGTATCATCTATGACTTGCAACAGGGTAAACGTGCTGCAGCTCAAGGGCAACTCCTTACAGTCCCAGCTTGGTCCTCCTCCACTGTCTCCTTTTGGAGTTGTACCTGATTTTATTACCAGTCTTCATGCGAATCTATTGAGGAATGGGACGATTCTGCTTTTGCTTCTTGGGCAGGAATCATTTGATTCTGAAAGTCTTGTGAGAAGACATGGTTAGGCTCAGAGGCAAGAGTACGCGTTTGATGGTGGACTGAAGCAGAAGAGATTTAAATAGTTTTAAAAGCTTGTTTTTCAAAGTAATTTTTAAAATTTTCAGTTGAAGACGTGTATATGCCAGTCAGAGTTTCTGATCAGCCCAACAAACTCAGTGCGACTTGAAAGCAGTCTTCGTATTTTGTCCTGTGTGGCTTTGTCATGAGTGAGCAAACCCATGTTTTACATTAAATCTTCAGACCTCACTTAAGTCCTGAGGGAATCCAAGGAAGGCTCCGAGTCACAGCTCTTGCTCACATTCTTCGATCTTCCTTGTATGGGGAAAAAAAAAGACTAAAGTGACGCACTGAAAGGGCCACAGGTAATTAGCTGAACTAAGGTTAAAACCCGGATTCTTAAGTCATTCTATCATCTCTGGTTTACAGATTTATAGAAATCCCTTAGTTATACATTCCTGATATGCACTGAACAGTGTATGAATAACTTGAAATCACAAAAATTTAAAAAAACTCCTTAGGATGTTAATTACTGTCTTTTCTTTAAAAACCAGTTAGTAGTGGCATAATTCAGGGGGTAACAAGTAGACTATAATTGGGAAGAAAATAGAGCGTGTTAAACTGTTCTAAGATGAGAAATCATTAAGGATGATTTAGGTAAGTATCTTAGATTAAAAACCTTCTCTCTCTGATGCTTGGTTTATTGCTGTAAGATGAAGGGGTTGAGTTAGTCTAGGTAATGTCTGAAATCTTTCAGCACAGACATTCTGAAACCTTAAAGTCTTACCTTGTTGCTAACTTAGTGTCTTCAAGGAAAAGGGCAGACATTTACCAGAGGATATTTCCTAAAGAGATAACCAGATACTTTTATGGAGAAACTAACTGAAGAAGGTAAGATAAATCACTTGATGATCAGTTTACCCTAATAATTTGGCAAATTTATTTTGTGATTTAGTGCTACTCTCTAACTTACACTCATGATGATATAATGAGGAAGATGAAGTAAAATAGTACATATGGAAATAGTTAAGAAAAAAGAAACCTAGAAAAGAGAAAGCATAGATGAGAACTAGATTAGGTTCAGTAAAGACTTTGGGTACCCTCCGTTGTGGGACTAATCAGGGAAGATCAAGAGTGGAAGGCATTTATCTAGGATATATCAAAACCATAGTCTTCACAATTAGACTTTTTGGGCAATTTTCACATGTATTAAAGCTTTGAATTTGCAAAATATACTTTTGAAGGAATTATCTTAGGTCACTGAAATTCTTTAAATCTTGTTTTCCTGAAAGTAGTCATTATGTGTCCCTATTCCCTGCCCCACCTTTTGTACATTGTTAGCCCATGGAGCCCTCACAGTGAATTGTGTTGCAAAGAGAAAAAGGAGAGGGTGAAAGGATAAAAGGAACTGTCAGGTGTCACCATTGAATCTTTGCAACTGTTAGCAGTTCTTTTGTTGGCACATCTTTAAATCAGAACATGGCAGGTCCCTGCTCATGTTTAAAGGCAAGTTGCTAAACACCCCCCAGGTTGCTGTTGGTATCTCTGAGTCAGGATTTACTTTCAGCAGCCAGCTTTATACACAAGGAACAACTGTCTGAAAAGAAGCCCTGGTTTTAGAAACAGAAGCTAGGGTTTGTTTTGTTTTTGTGATTCTGACCAAAAAAAGTAGGTGAGAGCTGAAACAATTTCCGTGAACAAATATCTAAGAATTAAAGTCAGAAAAGTAAGATTGAGCACAGACTGTGTTGCTCTTTTGAATACTTTTAAAGACTGTGGCTTCTTTTTTGAGCTGGAGAGGAAGCAATAGAGGGTTTTAAGCAGTGTGACATGATAAGATTTATAATATAAATGACATTATAGTGGTGGAGGACATATTCTGAAAGATGAAGTGGAAGCAGAGATTAACTAGAAGGCATGTGCAGGCAAGAGGTGTTGGCCTGAACCAGGGCAGTCACCATCAGGAAGTGGTAAAGAGTGGGAGAGCTATGGATGTCAGCCTGTCTGTCTTTATGTATCACTTGGTTACTGGATGCGGGGAGTGAGAACCACAAATATCAAACCCCACATCTTACAGATGAGACTGAGGCCAGAGAGAAGGAATTTGTCCCAGAAAAATAAGTGCTGTTTGCACAGTGGTGTTAGACTTGAGGCACATAAGCAAGAGGAGACACAGGTAACAACCTTTTGTAGTCCTTTATTTCTCCCCCAAAATCAAAAATCTACCACCTGCTTGTCAGCAATTACTATTAAAAGAAATATTAAAACAAAGACTTTAACTGTGATAAAATGTGCATTGAAGAGAGACAGTAGTGGGGCTGGGGATTTAGCTCAGCGGCAAAGCGCCTGCCTCACAAGCAGAAGGTCATGAGTTCGGTTCCAGGTACGGGAGGAAAGAAAAAAAAAAAAAGAAGAGAGACAGTAGGAGTTATGTGTGGCATAGGCCTTTCCTGGGTCAGGTTGGGAAATCTAATTTAGAAAAAGCAATAGTTGCCAAGGAAGATAGGTAAGCAGGAGGTTAGAGCAGAAAAGTAAAACAAGGATGACTGTTTCTGTGCCATACAGATCAGTACTGCTTTTTAATTTCTTAGGTTCTCACTGTAAATATATTCCTTGTATCTACATGAATCATAACCAAGAGTTTGGAGCAGAAGGATAGGGTAGTTAGGGCAGGGCACATGTAGTAGGTATTTTGTTGTGTGAGACAGGGTTTCACTATGCAATTCAGGCTGGCCTTGAGCTCACTTTTATAGTCCAGGCTGGCCTCAAACTCACAGTGATCCGATCCACCTGCCTCAGCCTCGGAGTGCTGGGCTTACGGGCATGCACCACCACACCCAGCCATAGGTCTTGACAGACCCTAGAACCTGAAAAGAGACCCATTCAGAGAGGATGGGATTGGCATAACAAACATTAGGCACTACTTCCCAGCTTTAAACCATCCTGTGTGACAGATAGGACATGAGGGGGTGTGTGGCCTTCCACTCCCTCTGTCCTCCAAAATCAGGTGCTCTATTTAGTCAACCCCTACTGACAGCTGTTTCAGAGCAGAAATAAGGAAGGAAGTTAGAGCAGTTATTTCAGGGACAGGAAGGGAAAGCTGTTCTACTGAAGGTGGAAGGCAGAGAAGGCTTTTGCACATGGCTACCCATAGAACAGTCTTCTGTTAGCTTCTAAGATGGGGTGGGACCTGTCTTCAAACCATCCTTAAATTGTGAAATCTGTTCTGTATTAGTAATTCAGTTTCTATTAGTGAAATGCATTTACCAGAGATTTTCCCCCCATAAAGTTGTTATACACATTCACGTACAGGTGTTTGTGACATATGTCATCATTTCTGTTGGGCAGTTACCTAGGCATGGAGTTGCTGGATTGTATGGTATGTGTGTTACTTCATAAGAAACTTTCACCGTACTGTTTTGCACATCCATTAGAATTGTAGATCAGTTCCAGTTACTGTGCCTTCTCACCAGCATGTTCATTTTGTCAAATTTTTTTGAAAATAGCTATTCTAGTATATATATGTAGTGATACTTCACTGTAGATCTAATTTGCATCACCCTAATGGCTAGTGCTATGAACATTTTTTCATGTATTTTTGACATCTGCATCTCTGCTGTAGTGAAGTCTGTATTCAGGTCTTTTGTATACTTCAAGTTGGGCTCTTTGTTTTATTATTGAGTTTTGAGTGTTTATGATGATTACCAGCCCTTTACCAGATGTTATAAAAATGTTTTCTTAGTCTGTGACTTGTCTTTTCATTTTCTCAATAGCCTTTGGAAGAACAGAAACTTCATTTTTCCGGTGTTAAGAACTGAACCCCAGGATGCTCTGCTACTGAGCTACACCCCAGGCCCTTTTTATTTTTCATTGTGAGACAGCCTTGCTAAGTTCACAGGCTGGCTCTGAACTTCTAATCCTCCTGCCTCAGCCTCTACATAGCTGGGGTAATAGGTGTGTGTCCTTGCACCCTGTTAGAAATTTTAATGTGATCCATTTTTCAAGTTTTTCTTCTGCAGTTGTCAGCAATTACTATTAAAAAAATATTAAATTTAATTACTATTTTTAAAAAAACTCTGATTCAAGGTGACAGAAATTTACTCCAGTATGTGTTTTTTAAAAGATTTTTTGTATTAGATTTTCAATTCCAACCTAAATGATGTTTTTAATTTTCATATATGGTACGAGGTTTGATTTTTTTGCATCTAAATAACTAGTTGCAGTAGCACTGTTGGTTGAATTTTCTTCAGTTTCCTTTGCACCTTGGGTGAAAATCAGTTGACATAGATGGATTGTGTGTTCTAGATAATCTTTTTCTGGATTATGTATTCTGTTCCATTGGTCTTCATGGCTTTCCTTTTGACAATACCCCCCCCCCCAACTGTTTTGATTACTAGAGTCTTGGAATATCTGAAATTAGCCTTCTGGCACTAGCCAGGACCTCCAGTGTGACAAGGAATAGGAGTGGTGAGCATGAGTATTTTTGCTCTTTTCCACTTTTGTAGAGGAAGCATTCATGTTTTTATCTCTGATACTGTGTTTTCACAGATGATCTTTATCAAGTTAAGGATCTTTTTATTATTTTCTGGGAATTTTTCATCATAAATGGATCTTGAATTTTGTTAAATGTCTTTTTCAGCAGTTCATATGATCATGTGGTTTAGTCTGTTGATGTAGTGTAGTACATTGCATTAGTTGACTTAAGAAATGTAAAACTAACATGGCATCCATAAAATAAACTATTACCATTTTTACATACTGTTGGATTTGACTTGCTAGTGTTTTGTTAGAAACTTTTATGTATGGTCATTGGTCTGTACTTCTGTTGTAGTATTTTTGCCCAGTTTTGGTATCAGCATAATTCTGGCCTCATAGAAAGTGTTCAAAAGTGTTCCTTAACTTCATTTTCTGGAAGAGTTTGTGTAAGTGGTATTGATTCTTCTATAAGTGCTTAGTAGAATTTGCCAGTAAAGCAATCACGGGTTTCAGTTTTCCTGTGTGAAGATTTTTAAACGATAAATTCAGTTTCTCTAATAGATAAAGGGATATTTGGGTTATTTCTTCTTAGGTGAGTGTTGGAATTCGTCTTTCAGAATATATCCATTTCATTCATCAGGTTTGTTGGCATAGCTTGTTCATAATATTCTCTTTTTAATGGCCCCTTTTTTATATACTGTTATGGTAATTTGTACTTGCTCCTTTTTTTTAAATCTATCTTTTTAAGAATTCATCAATTTTATTGATATTTTTAAATAATTTGTTTTGGTTTTATTATTTATTCTGCTATTTTAAAATTTTATTATTGATCTATTTCATTTTAATATTGATATTTTTTCTCATCCTTCTACTTTTGATATAACTTGCTCTTTATTTTCTCAAGGCAGATTAGATCACTGCTTTCTTAATATCACAAAAACATATAATGATGTAAATCGCTCTCTAAATAATGCTTTAATTGTACCCAACAAATTGTTACATATCATGTCTTCATTTATTTAAAGATTTTTCCAGATTTTCTGGGGAACCTTCCTCTTTGATCTTTGTTTATTGAGTATTACATGGTTAAAATTTTCAAATACATGGGAATTGTCCATATACCTTCCTGTTACTGATACTTACTTTTGCTCCTGTCACAGAATATTCTTCATATAATTTCAGTTATTTTAAATAGGTTGAGTATTGTTTTATGTCCCAGAATTTTTTTTTTTTTGTTGAGTATTCTGTGTGTTTTTGAAAAGAGTATTTACTCTTCTACTGTTAGAGTAGAATGTTCTGTTGATACTCATTTGGTCAGTTTGGTTGAAAGAGTTCTATATCCTACGGAATTTTTGTCTGCTGGTTCAGACAATTACTAAGAAAGGAATTTTGGAGTTCCAACCTGTAAGTGTAAATCTCTTCTTTCAGCTCTCAGGTTTATGTCTTTTGAAACTCTGATGTTTCATGCAGCTACATTTGGGTTTGTTGTGTCTTCTTGATGAATTAACTTTTTAGTCATTATGTAATGTCCCTGTTTATGCCTGATAATATTCCTTGTTATGACATTAACGTTATTTGTCATATATTTTTGTATTCATTTTTACTTCTAACCTACATAGGTATATTTAAAGTTAGTTTCTTGAAGGTGATATACAGTAGAGATGTCTTACTTTCATGTCCCCTCTGCCAGTCTCTTAACTTTTTATTGATATATTCCAATCAGTTATTTTTAATGTAACTATTGTTGTATGATTTTAAAAAATATACCATTTTCTAGATGTTTTCTATTTTCTGTTTTTTGTTTTCCGTTTCTTTCCCCCTAGTCTTTTTTTTTAACTTCTACTGCTTTCTTAATGTTATTTTGTTCTAGTTTATCTTTATTACAGGGTAATTACGTATATGTAAATATGTTTTTAAAAAATGTTAGCAGTTGCCATAGGCTTTATAATATATGCATCTTTATCAGATTCTGTGTTCAAATAATACTATATTTCTTTATAGACAGAAAAAGTTCCAATGATAGTCTGTCAATTCTTCTCTCTTGTGATTTGTGTTATTGTTGCACATTTTACCTTTATATACATTATACACCAAAAGTGAAGGAACGTTTCTAGTGGTAGAAATATATACCTTGACTGTGATGATGAGTACATGGGTGTATATATTTTTTAAAATTCAAATACATAAAATGAGTTAATTTTACTTTAAGTAAATGTCCAATATAATGCATCTACTGAAGACCAACAAATCTATAACCTAAGTTCCGAGGAAACATATCTGTGTGACTATGCTGTGAGCATTCACAACCCCCACATGTTGAAAAATGAAGCCCTCATGCTTCTTAACTAGAAACTTGGGAGGAAGCAGTTAATATTTTCTGAGGTAACTACCTCTTAGTTGATTTTTTCCTTGTTCTTGTTTTCAGGACTTTTACATTTCCAGGTAGTCTTAACCAATTATAACAGTCCTTCAGTGTATCTTCCTCTCTGCTCAATAGTGATCATTCTAATATCAGAGCCAGTCATTTTATTTCCCTATTTAAAATCCATGTATAATCCCACATTACATTTGGAAAATGCACACATAGTAACGTAATGCAGTTGTCTCAGAATCAGTCCTTCCCTCCTCTGTTGCCCCTTTCAGCCCTCAGCTTGGAGTCCTGTTCAGTCACATCTAGCACATAATTGTGGGGAGAGCTCAGAACATACCATGTCCTTCTCTCGCACCTCTGTGCCTCTGCCCATCCTGTCCTTCCCAGCCACATGACCCTCTTCCTCCTGGTCTGGCTGATTTCATCTTACCATCAGGACTACATTCAGGCTGCCTCTCATCTGGTAGCTTTCCCTAATATCTTCCCACCCTAAGGCTCTTGGGACCTTTCTCACTTGCCCCTGCATTCTTATTGTTATACTGTTGTTTCCTAGTGTGGTAGTTACTTCCAGGTATTGTTATCACAGAAAGTACCCATTGCTAACTTATTGCTTACTCTTGACAAGTTTCAGCTCTGAAAATCCGTGTGAATTCACAGACTAATGAGCCATAATATAGTAACCTTTCACTGTGTTCTTATAGGCAAAGATGCTGGAAGCAGATCTGGTGTCAAAGATGCTGCGGGCTGTTCTACAGTCTCACAAGAATGGGATAGCATTACCCCGCCTCCAAGGAGAGTACCGATCCTTGACTGGAGACTGGATCCCTTTTAAACAGCTTGGTTACTCTACTCTGGAAGACTATCTGAGAAGTGTGCCAGCAGTTGTCAGAATAGATACTAGTAGATCTGGAGAGGTAAGAAGACAATTACACATGTCAGGAGAATCCAGCCAGTTTGTAATCACCAACCTGACACTTCCAGTCTCATACCTTTGATAGAAGTCAGAGTGCTAAGTACCCATTAGGTAGTCTGAAGCACAGCCTAAGTTTTACCCCTCAAATGTTTTCATTGTGAAAATACTATTTTAACCACTCTAAATAAAAAAAATTTAAGTTAAAGTTTACCTAAATTCATTGTCAAAACAAAATAGCTGTACTGAGGACTTTAAGTATACACATTATTTTTACCCTTAACAAACCTGCTACAACTGTTTTTGCCAAGGTCACTTCACTAATGACCTTCTTATCACCAGATCTCATAGGCAGTTTTAAAATGTCATCACTTGACTGCATTCATAGCAATTCCTGCTACTTGAACCTAGCTCATTCCCTAGTTGGTAACTCATCACTTTACTATGACAGGGTCTCCGTCCAGTTCTCTGTGTCTTAGTTCCTTTCTTTAGCCTGTCCTTTCCTTCACAGAAATATTATCATGTTAATCTACCTCTTTAAATCCTTCAGCTGTCCCAGGAGAAAATACTTTATGTATAATATGGGCCACTTGGTGGCAGCAGGTAAATCTCTGTACTTTCACTATCTCTCAGTAGTTTCATTTCTTGGTGCCTACCCATTGTACAGTATGATAGGTATAGACACACCACCCAAAAGACAAACAAAATAGGCCTGTCTTCCCTCCACAAAGTATTGCAGTTTCTTGAGTACATTTTTACTTATATAAATACATGGAATAAAAAAAAAATTAAAAAAAAATACATGGAATAGGTCAGGTATGTTTCTCACCAAAACTTACCATATTGGTTCCTTCGGGGGTGTGTGGGGAGGAAAATGCAGTCAGGAATGGGAAACCCATCAAAAGAGAAGTTCGCCTCATCTAATTATTTTTACGATAGAAAATACAAATCAATTAAATACTGTATTAATAATAAAACATACTTTAATATACCTTATTGTCCCAGAGAGATTTAAGCCCATCTTTCTATTTGTAACTTGCAGTATATCCAACACATACTCAGCACAGTGTTTCTTTTTTTATTTTAAAGAGATAAAAACAATGATACAGAATTTCAAAACAAGATAGTAGGATATTAACAGTTGTTACTATATATTGCACATTGTTATCTTCAGAGTAGTTGTTCAGATTACAAGATACAGGTATGCAAAATTGATCAGGCAGTATAATCACAAATGATTCTTTTCAATGAACTGATAGAAATTGGTAGTATAATTATCTTAGCTATTGTGTGTGTGTACATATATATATTCCTCTTCTTTCTTTTCTCCTTTCTCCCACCCCAGTTATTCTTTCCTTTTGAGCAGTTTCTTTCCCTTTCACAATATCTATTGTATATTTTGGATCTTATTTACTCTTTCAGTTTCTTACACTAGGGAGACAGTATGATGTTTACACATGCAAGTCTGATTTATTTCACTTATCGATATGGTCTCTAGTTGCATCCATTTACCTATAAAAGCCTCAAATTTGTCCTTTTTTATAGCTGAGTAGTACTCCATTGTATAAAAATACCACATCTTTTTTGTCCATTCCTTGGTTGATGGGCATTTGGGTTGTTTCCAAGATTTAGCTGTTACAGATGGTGTTGCTGTAAAACATGGGTGCACATATATCACTGTGGTATGATATTTTTAATTCTTCTGGGAAAATACCCAGAATGAGAATAGCTGGGTCAAATGGAACCTCTAATCCTAATTTTTTGAGGAATCTCCACACTGATTTTCGCAGTGGTTACACCAGTCTGCATTCTCAAGAACAGTGGAGAAGGTTCCTTTTTCCCCACACTCCTCCAGCATTTGTTATTGGTTGATTATTGGTTGATCTTTTTTATAATAGCCATTCTTTCTGGGATGAGATGGAATCTCAGTGTTGTTTTAATTTGCATTTCTCAAATGACCAGTGATGTTGAACATTTTTTCAAATACTCATTTGCTATATGTATTTGTTCATCTGAGAAGTGCATATTCATCTCAGATGCGCATTTTTGGATTGGGTCTTTGAATTTGAGGGTTCTGATTTTTTCAGTTCTTTATATGTTCTAGATAGAAGTCCTTTGAGAGACAGTTGGCTAAAGTTTTTCCCACTCTGGGTTTTCTTTTCACCCTGTTGGTGATTTCTTTTGATGTCAGTACAATGTTTCTATTTAGCTTCTTTGCTACTTTCTTTTTCCTTCCTATGTTTCTTGAGGATACACTATTTTTTTCCTCCATCGTAGTTCATACTTAATAAATATGTATTGAATGCATGAATGAGCAAATGTCCAGATTAATTAATAAACTAATAATATTTCATATGGTTAGTTACTTAACTCTTTGTTCCCTTATTTTGGACATTTTAAATGTTTCCATGTTTTGACTATTAAAATACCATCCTCCATTGAACATATTTTTCTTTTGAATTATATTCTTGTAATATATTCTCAGGAATAGAAATACTGGGCCAGAGACTCTGTAAAAATATATTTTGGCTGCAGTATAAATCCTCATCATTTTCCTGTTGTTGATTTCAACTTAGAGCCAAAGACTTGAAAACTAAATATGTCTTTAGTGATCTAGTCCTAAAAGTCTTGATGTTTCCAATATTTTTCCTAATAGCTACAGTTTTTTAATAAAAGATAAAAGTCTGAGCTGCTCTGTTTTAAGCAGATGTAGAGAGTCTAGGGACCGTATCTGTCCTGTTTTGCCTTAACACCCATACCGGTGGTGGCCCCTGAAACCCCAGTAGAATTCCATGGCTTCAGTGACCAAGGTTCAAAAAAACAGGTTTAAACACCTTGCCTACAGCTGAGAATACCTTACTGAAATTTGCCCAGAGTCATCTAGCTGTTCTGTTACAGGGACAAGATTAGGCCTTAGTGGTCTTAGAGAAAGAGTACAGTGTAGTGGGTATGAGATTATTTGGGCTCAGAGATAGTCTTGCTGTGTAACTTGGAAAGTTACTTAGGTACAGTGAGCCTCTGCTTCTCCATGTATAAAATAAGGATAAGGTATATTTTGTGAATTGTGTGGATAATCAGATCAAGAATTTCTTTTGGTTCATCTATTAATCTTATAGTACCTGGTACATTGCAGATGTTGGTAAATACTTCTTTAAGGGGTAAATGAAAATTTCAGTTTGGAGAAAGATTATTCAGTGTACCAGGTTATACTTGATTCCTTTATAGAAAATACATTTTTTTATTCTGAATTGTCAAGGAGAAAGATACATGAATATTTGGATACAGTTTGATTTTGGACACAGAGGCGCATCTACTTTTACAAATGGACCTCTAGAAAACACTCACTCTAAGAAGTATTTCTTCTCTTAATCTGCCCTTCATGAATAGGTTACGTGCTATGCTGTGGCCTGTACAGAAACTGCAAGGATTGCTCAGCTTGTGGCTTGTCAGAGGAGTTCTAAAAGGAAAACTGGGCGGCAAGTTAACTGTCGGATGAGAGTGAAGAAAACCATGCCATTTTTTCTAGAAGGTAGGGTTTTTCTATATGATAAAAATTTTAAATCTGTTCATGAATATATTGTCACAAAGAATAATTGAAATACTGCTTGTATTTATGATAAGTACCTGTATTTCTTAATATCCATATGCCAGGAGAAAAATCCTGAACCTAGGATTTCCATTTGAAATGATTAAGTGAACACGGTAATCGGAAAAAAGTGAACCAGTTACACGGTGTGAAGTAACTCAGCAGATTTTTCACTGTTTGTGATGGCAAAAAGCTGGGTTTTGTTCTTTCAGGTATTTGAGAGGAAGCATCATCCAGATTGTTAAATGAACCAAGAACCTATGTTTTAACATCTCAGCAAATTGTGTTGTTTGGGATAATACTATTTTCAGAAAAATTGACTTATATAATATGAAAAAGTGTTACAGATCACTCAGCCTCGTATATTGAAAACTTATCTCAAGGAGCTTACAGTCCTAAAACTGAATTCTCAAGAAATAATTCATTGATAATATAAAACAGTAGGTGACTAAATGCTAGAATGAGCATAGTAGCCAAGACAGTGATCATTATGAGTGAGAATGGCAATGGGGGACTTTATGATGAAAGGAGACTTGAGCCCAGATCTCAAGTGGTGGGTAGTATTTGAACTGATGAAGAGATGGAAGGACTTCTTTGCTCATGAAAATGTGAAGTGGCTGCCACAGAAGTGTTATGTTCATAAGTACCAGGCAAGTAACTGGAATCTAGCAGGTGGAATCTCTCTGGCTAAATGCTCCTAGAACTCTTTTTCCCAATTCACCAACCGCCCCAGGAGCCCCTCTTGCATTGCTACAGACTGTGTTGAGAATAGAGACCCACAGAAACCATCTGGTCCGGAGAGTGCAGTAATAAGACCTAGGGTTTGGGAAAGTTAACTGATTCCGTTATGTATGCCTGACTTCATAGGAAAACCAAAAGCAACCCTCAGACAACCAGAACTTGCTTCAACTTTTTCTGTCAGCAAAAAACCTAATCCAACACTGTTAAGAGACAAAGGAACTTCTTCTGGGCTTAAGTTTGATGCTGAAGTGCCACCCTACCCAGTACACACGACGATTGGAAATGAAGTATTCAAAGACATTCCAGTGCAGAGGCATGTGACCATGTCTACCAACAACAGGTATTTTGGGCTCTATCTCACTAAAAAGGGAAGTTTGGTGGACCTAGGATAGTAAATGTTTAAAAATATGTATTCTGATTAAGACATACTTTCTGTTTTGGCTAATACAAGTCCATGTGTGGTACAAAAGTACACTTTTCCTGGCTGCCAGGCATTCTCTGAATGTATCCCCATTCTGCAGCTCTGTTGGTAATAACTCTTCATTCATCTTAAAAGTTCTCATAAGTTGTTCTCAGATGATGTTTTGTGATTGTTTCTCAAAAAGTTTTCTCACAATTTTAAAATTCTAAGCGAAATCTGATTGAATTGCGCATTCAGTTTTGCTCCACAAATTGTGTCCATAATTATGCAGTAGTGTTAGACATTCTTGCACAAAAGTACTGGACTAGCAAAAATGAAAACCTGAAAACCTTAGTTTAGGTGTTGCTATTCACTAGCTAGGGTAAATAAATTAATGTTTGGCCTTTTGGGTCTTTGCTTTCCTCTTCGTTCTGTGAAAGCTGGATAAGCATTTCTGGTTCTAAATTATGGTTCTATGTGGTAGCGCAGAAGTCAGCTAACTACAGTCCATGGGCCGATTAAGGCCTGCTGCCTGTTTTTGTAAATACAGTTTTATAGGAACAGGACTATATTGTTTCCATATTGCCTCTAGCTGCTTTTGCATGGCAGTAACATAGTTGATTGGTTTTACAGAGCATGGATGGTCAGAAGAGCCTGAAATATGTACTGCTGGATCTTTTCAAAAAAAAGCATGCTAACCCCTAATATAGATGAGTTGACATCCCATTCTTCTATCCTTCCAATTTTAAAATTTGTATCTTTTCACAAAAGACTTGTCTTACCATACTTTAGGTCATTATTCAAAAATTCCATTTCATCTTCCCTAGGAACTTTTCCTCAAGATACTAGAATATTTAGGAGAATTAATCTTTTAAAAAAATATGATAGAAAGAGTACTGTGTATTTTTAGCATCTGTGTTACTTACTCACTTGTTAATGCAGAAATATGTTATAATTGAACATACTAAGTAAATTTCTATTAATAGCCTGCAGTCTAATCATTACTTTCAGAATTAAAATATTATAATCTATATCTAGCTATCTCCAGGTAGGCTTCTGCTCAGGCTTCCCTCCATGGCGCTGCCCACCTTTTCCCACAAAGGCCTAAATCTCTTTAGATCCTCTTTACAGTACATTCTACATAGACCTTTTCACATCCCTTCAAAAATATTATAAGGAAATATGCTTCATTTCAGAGAATTGATCTAATTTTTAGTGTTTCATACTATTAAAAAATTGTGCTGGGTACAACACCATCATTGACTGATTGAGACATTCTTCTAGCATTCACTGTCCCTAGCATGCACTAACCACTGAGAGCACAAATAAGACGGTATCTAGTGAAGGAAAAGACGTGAAAATAAACACTATTGTGTGTGGGGGCACTGTTTGTCCTCATATTTGGAAAAATCTTCCCATGTATATCTAATATCATTCCTGTAAAATTATTTGGTAAAGGTTTGAGGTAAGGGCCTATGTTTCTTATTTTTCAATTGTGTGAGCAATCTTTTCCGTCAGCTTTGAAATACCACTTATGTGCTAAGACATAATGTACATTTAATGTTTTTCAGCTTTCTACTATTTTACTTATCTGTCCAGTTATTTTAAATGTTGTAACTTTGTAACGCATTTCAAAAACTGATGGTGCAATTCCTTCCATTTTTGGCTGTCTTCCAAAATAGTATTTATTGTCAACTGTTTTCATCTGTTTCATAGTTTCATTTATTCTGTTTTTCTAATACCTTAAAGGTAATTAATTGGAAGTGGGACATCCAGGTTCCAAAAAAAACTGTTAAACATCTTGTTAAAGTTTAGCTTGTAACATATTTTTTTTTTTCTGAGTAAATATGAAAGATGAGATTATGTTGGATGTCATTTTCATTTTTTCTGGTGTGGAATATTTTTATGTACTTAAATGAAAAGTACATTGTTTAAAACTTGGTATTCTTTTGCATCTTAGGTTTAGCTCCAAGGCACCCCACCCACCACCTTTTCAGATGCATCTCTCAAGAACCTGCACTAAGGAAGTGAGTGGTATGTTTTCCTAACATCTTCTTGGTACATACTGGCTTCTGAAGCTTCGGGGTCTCAAGAAAAGTATAGTATATACTTTTGTGTATACTACAAAATAGGTAGGCTTGGCACTTGCTCTCACTTTCTGCTTGGAGTGAATCCTCCTTTTTTTCCTAATTACTTTAAGTCAAGTCTAGTGATTTTAAGACAAAATAGTGCCTCCAAGGATATCATCATTACTCTGACTTGAGGCCTTCCTCATCCTAGATCTATACTGTTTCACACCCATGTCGCTGTCCCTGTGTACTTTCTTGTCCTCTCCCTTATTAGGGAATAATCCCCAAAGACTTCGCAGTCTGAGACCTTACTTAAAGAAAATCCCATGCTCTAAATTCAAAGAATATAGATATGGGGCTTTAATTCATTAAAGAATTTCAAAACTCCACTGCTTAAAAGCTGGCATCCTCAACTATGTGCAGTGACCTCAGTGACCATTTCAGCATTACACTCTTCTAAATATGAATGTAAATCGCTCTTTAGGTTATAAAATCCAAAAGGGCTATTAAGAAAACAGTAGAACATAGAATAAAGTCAAAGAATGTGAAGGTTAGAAATTCAACCACTCAGTAATTCATTTTCTCCAACTATTGTATAAATCTCTGCAGAAGACTTAGCCAGTACGATGTAGTGTTTTCAGAGTAAGTGCTTATAGTGTATGAAGTATGAATGTGATTTTTACATGATTTACTGCCTTTTTTCCCCGTAAGAACACATCTTCTGAATTTATTATGGAAATTGATTGATTTGATTTTATGACTCATTTTGACATGTTATTTTCTGAGCTCTACTCAGTAAAGTCATATACCCTTTTAGCGGCCTAAGTCAGTATTTTCTGTGCACACAAGAAGACTTATTTCCAGAGGATTGCTGTTCACTTGGCTGAGCTGAAAAGTACATGTACATATACACAACCTCTCCTACATGCTAACGGCCTAAATTTACTTCCTTAACTTGCTTGACACAGAGAATAGGAGCTCAGGTGCTTCTAGTGGCCCCACAGAGCAGATGCAATTGCAAACTAGACCAAGGGTCAGCTGCTGACACTGTTATTAAGAGGGTTCTGGCCACTTTTGAGAGGTGCACTGTTTCCTCCTTCTCCGTCCTTTTCTGGATTCTTTTGTTATCTGTGCCTGAGTCTGGCAAGGCCAGGTCGTCATGGCCTCTGATGGGAAGAGCAGTGTCCAAGCATTCTCATGGAGCAGTTCCCATTTAGCTTCCTGGCATCCACAGAGGCAACTGTGCCCAAGTAGGACTGTAAGTCTCTATTAGCCAATTACAAATAAAATTTCTAAATCCCAGCAGAAATACCCATCTGATTAAAATACAAATATATGTTGTCACTGATGATAATTTTAGTGTACTCTGACCTGTATCCCAGTGGAGTTTTGAAGAGGGTTAGAGTGAATTTCATAGTTCATAAAATAGTAGAGCTTTCAGCTATAATGAACACTGAGATTTGTCTTAGAATGTGAACTCAGGTATCCTGAGGTTCAGATTTTTTTAGAAAGTGACTAAAAAAGCTCGCCACGATATACTTATGAAAGATAAATATTGGGGAAATTTAAAAATTGGTGTCACTTCTCTGTAGGCTCCAGACCATTTACTCATGTTTATAAACTGAAGCTAGGGTGACTTTTGTAACTTCTGGGTATTGCTAATTTTCTTATTTTCATTAATCAAGGGGGAAAAATGACCATAATCCTAAAACCTGGGCAGTTTTTTATCTTCTGCTAAATGTTCTTCAGTCTTACTGCTAAGGCATTTTATACTTTGTGGGACATAGCTTTAAATTCAGCAAAATATATATGTTACTTCCTTAGTTGCAAATAGAAAATAGTTAATCAATTTATATTATTCTTTACCTAGAAAGATAATTTTGATGTTTAAAGTAAACTATAAAGCAGCCAGGCAAAATAAGGGGGCTAAATTTCCTCTTGGATGTCTCTTGACACCATCTGGTATTTCTGGGTTAATGAAATGAGGTTGTCATGGTGCTGTTTTGCTTAATCCTGCCCCCTGCTAAGACCTTTGGCCCCCCCAAGTCCACAGAATAGCAAAGCCTGAGACACAAATGCTACGTAATGGGGATAATCTACCATGTTAAGTATTTTGGTTAATTCTATCATTTTTTAATTTAAAGATAATTTAAATAAGACGGTTGAAAAAACAAATGTTACGTCTCCTGCCTCTCACACTTACAAAATGGATGAGGTTCAAAATCGCATAAAGGAAATACTAAACAAGCATAACAATGGCATTTGGATATCTAAGCTTCCACATTTTTACAAAGAGTTATATAAAGAAGATCTTAATCAAGGAATTTTACAACAGTTTGAACACTGGCCTCATATTTGTACGGTACGTTTTTTTCCTTGTTCTTCCCTTTTGATGTCTCCTCCTTGCCCAGGTTTTGGACCTTGAGTTGCTGGTCATAAAACCTTTTATCCAGGGAACACAAAGCACCTTACATATGTTGCCTCGTTAATCTTTATCTCTCTCTAAGATTAACGTGTATGTTCTTACTCATTTAAGAAATAACGTCAAGGTTGAGGGCTCTGTGTTTTAATTGTTGCTGTTAGACATTTTGTTTTAAATTATTTTAAAAGTGTGTTTAATATTTATGTAAATATAATGATGCTTTTTTGTATTGATTGAACTGCTACCAATAAACAATGACAGTAATTTTTATTAGCTTCAACTTTTATACATTTAATTCTTAAGCATTTAAAAGATTTTCAGCTAGGGGCTGGGGATTTAGCTCAG